AACTTTCACAGCTCATATCTCGATGAATTTCAAGGCTATCTTAATGATTTATTATTCAAAGGAAAGCATACGATCTAAGCTTTCTTTTGAATATTAAATTATCAAAATAACCTCAAATTTTATTGAGAGATGAGCTGTGAAAGTTAAGGTATTAATTTTTTTAAAATATCAATTTGCCTTATTTCTATTGACGGCAGCCCATATATGGGAAGATCGAGAATGTCCGCAACAAATAATACAAAGTACCATTTCCACATTAGTTCTATCAACTTCATCTGAAAATTTTAACCAAATCAGAAAAGAGACTTTATATCCAGAATCTACCACTCTCAATACAGAAACAAAAAAGAGAAGATCCAAATCTCGGACTAATTCTGTATTATATAATAATAAGCTCCACTCTTACATATCTGATTCAACACCTACTAATAACTCTATAAAAAAAATAAGTAGTGAAGATCTGGATGCATTATATGAAAAAGAAGCCAGAAAAGATGAAAAAAATAAAGCAAATATGACTTGTTTATTAGCTACTACTTAGCCTATCTTTTCTTTATTTATGCTATTATCTCTAGAGGAGATATGTTCAAGTAGTTTTTCATAATGTATTTGCAACTTTTCATAAAGATCATTTATTTCAGCTTTAGATATGAAAATAGTATATAGTGATTTTTCTAACTCCTCATAGCTCATGCGTTTTTTTTAATAACGAATCAACAGAATCTGAGCTAAAACCCACAGGAGCATGCTATTTCTCCAATGGTATACTATCATCCTTATCACTATCTACTTCCTGTGAAATTTGATCAGATACCAAAGACTTAGATGTAATAGTATCCTTGTTATATGAGCCATCTTGAGTCACAGTAGCATAATTTACTTCGAGCTTATTCTTCATCTTATGCATAGTTACAGAAAAAATGTGATCCTTTCCATTGTGATGAATCTTCATTTTATCATTATTCCAATCAATAACATATTTATATTTTTTGAGAAGTCAGTTTGAAAATATTAACATTGGCTTGGAATGTTTCATGACTACAAAATCCTCATATATAGTACAATCAAGAGTTAGTATTATTAGTAAATTACAAATAATGCCAATAGACTCAATTGGAATGGTAACAATACTACTAAGGTCATACTTCACAGATCTATCAATTTTTCCATTTATACACTTAACAATATCTTCTGTTATGATCTCAGTTTCAGCCCCACTATCGAGTATCATTGCTGGGATTTTTAAACACTTAATTTTACATGGTATAGTCGCAATACCTGTATCGGGTTCTTTCTGACAAACAAAATCAATTTCTATAGAGTCATCCAAAGTCTCATCTTCATCTGAATTGGATATCTCTGGAGCTGGTTCTCAATAATTATTATCTTGAATATGGTATGATTTTTCATTATTAAAATTGAGCTTCTGCAATAATAAAGGTAAAATAAAATATCTTTAAGTTCACTTTGGATAATTTTACAAATAGTTTGTTTTAAAACTGTTTGCTTACTCCCACCTCTCTTGCAAGACTTAGGTTCCTTATCGATCTTGTGAGATTTAGATACCTTCTTAGATAATGATTTGCTCGAACTACTCTTCTAGTTTACTTTGTTTTTGCCCTGGTAATGTTAACATTCATACTCTCAGTTTCAGAGGAGGTGTCATCAGAATCAGACCCAGAATCAGAATTATTATTAGAAGAGTTAGAATCTGAATCAGAACCAGAATTATTGATAGCCATATTAATCTTACTTTTTTATTTTTGCTAGATCTCTTGGAATTCTTAGATTTCTTTCTAGAACACTTACAAGAATTGTGTCCAGTTCTATTACAATTTGAACAATGGTGTTTGGATGATTTAATAACAGCATGAACTTCTGCCTCAAAACCTTTTAACAAAGCCTTATTTATTGATAACTTACCTATACAATCAGCCAGTTCTTTATCAGAGTTGACTTTAATATTTTTCTTTGATTGAACTGGCTTTGCCGAAAATATATCTGACACTTTTTTATAAAGATTATTAGCTAAAGATTCTATAATTTGGCTGGCTGAAGGAGTTGGGTTTATAAGATCACAATGAATAAATTTTTCAGAATTTACACCATATCTATCTGGTGGTCTTTCTGGCATATATTTATCTGGTACTCTAAGGTAGTTACTGAAATCAGGTTGCTTTTGCTGAGACTGTAAAGCTTGTATTTTTTGGAGCTGTGAAGACTGAATAGAAGTAGTTAGTACTAAAGCTAATTGTGATTTTATTATACTATCTAGTTCAGCTCAAGATATACTACTACTATTGGAATGTGATTTATTTTGTATATTAATAGCTGAAGTTTGAGAGATTTGGTCAGGAATAAAGCCTTTATACAAATTTAGAAGACGTTCTAACCACATATTTTTAAGTTCTGTAAAAAATACATTAATGCTAGCAGGATTAGCAATTTTTATTCAAGTATAAAGCTCTCCCGATAAATAGCCCTTAAGAAGTCCTAAGATATTGGCATCACCATCAGCAATCCCTAATAAAAGAGGATAGATTCTAGCCTCATATAATTCTGGATTATTAAATGGTAAGAATTTTTCTTGTGCTAATCTTTGAATAACGACTTGTTGTATACCAACTGTTTCTGTTTGATATTTATAATGCAACCAAACAATGAAACGGGCTGGGGTATCAATATTAATACCAGCATGTTAAGCAGGTATATTTGTATATTTTCTAGCCATCTTACTTTTTAAAATATCTGCTCGAAGCAGATTATCAAAGGCAGCTGCAGTAATTGATATTAAAGTTAATATTTGATTAATTCTTTGATACTATTCATCTGGTGGAATTTGTCTACTATAATTTGGAATCTCTGCAATTAATGGTGCAATACTGGATAAGTCTCCTGCAACTGTAGCCATATTTGGTAGATTATTATGTAACAATAAAATTTGTGCTTGTAAATTATTTATTAATTGTTCAAAATTTCGAGCATGATTTTTCCACTTACCCCACTTATTGTCTAGTTGAAGATCAGCAAGTAATAAATTATTTTCTAGAGTCTTGCATTTATTTTTCCATTTGCTATATTAATTTTTTGTAAGATTTAAGAGGTGTGTAGTAATTGCTTCATTTGTCTTATATTCTTGTAGTTGCTGTTGTGTTCGTCTATTCTTAAATCCCAATGCAAATTTTTCTAGAAGCAATTTTG